ATAAGTCTTTAAGTCTCTAAGTCTTTGTGGGGACATGACAAAACAGCAAGGTTGCAGAGGTTAAAATTTCACCTATCTCATGATGTCCCCCTGGACTTAACTGATCAGTGTGTGTATAGGCGACATTCCATTCATTGATGTACGTTAAGCTCATATCAGGCCTGTTCTGCGGTTAAACAAAATTGACACTAATTACATTAAGGCGGGTAGTCATGAAATTTTCAGTTTGATCAAAATGAATGATGTTTAAATAAAATATCTCAACCCTGAAGCTAAATGCAGTAGCAGCAGCCTCTGTGGAGAAATGGAGCCCTGTATTTGCAAACCTGTGACAGAAATTTGTCCCAAGCCCAGTTTTGTACAATCAGCTTTGACTAAGAAAGTAAATATGTGAAAAATAAACTGTCCCCTGAACAGCAGCGAGGGAGATCTCTGTCCAGAGAAAATTGGACACTCCAACTGGCTTTTTTTGTTCTTTGGTATCATCAAGCAGTCACAGATGGTTAGTAAACACGAGAAAGTTGTTAGCAGTTCTATCAGTACTGATTGTTGTATGTTGTCTTTTTTTGGCCCTCAAAGCTACTGTGTGTAACACTGAGGAAGATTAATTGGTAGAAATGGAATAATACCTTCATGTAGTCCACCATGTTAAACTGCTATGTTTCCACAGTATCCCAGAACAGACAACACTGACTCGAGATGGAGTCGTTCACATTTTTTGTGCATTTCACAGTCACCGCAGTTTCTCTGTGCTTGCAAGGGGAGGGTGAAGTGAGGGTGTTGCGATCTGCAACTACACTGCTAAATGCTATCTAATCCTGCATACTGGTCCTTTACGACTGCAATCGATTATTTAAATTGACTTTAATGTTGCAATAGAAATATAGAGTGAAAGCTTTTCTCATTGTTGATTGTCCATTGAGAATGTAATACTAATAGATTTTAACTCTTTATCTGAGCATAGCAAGCTAAAATACCCGATTTGTCTGTTTGTCAACCCCAGGTTCAATCTAGCAAGTCACACATTATGATAAAAATGCCATGTAAGTTGCTGTCTTACGAGGTAAATCAAAATAAGGATGAAATTACATTTTGCACTGGTTGAAGATCTTTCTTTTTGTTTTTTAAAGCTGCATGTGTCTACATCAAGCTCCACCAATCAGATGGTTAGGGCCTGAAACCCAGAGCTAAAATGTCCCCTCACAAACGTAATAGCTGTGAGTGCATGGTAATAATTGAAGGTTAATTAAATAGACCTTCACACATGTATTCTGATAGCTAGACAGTAAAATTAGAGTGTTTAGTGAGTAATTTAAAATGAAAATTACTAGTAGAAATACTTTTTTAGAATTTCTGACAAAGGTTTCATGTCTTACATTGAGTACTGGCTTCTAAATGAAAATTGATATTTTTACTTACTCTTGCTGCCATTTTGAGCTTCATATAAACAGTTTTTATTGAGGTTTATCACTTTATTTGCTGAATACTCTGGATCCTCTGGATATTGGATTTCCTTATCCTTACTAGAGTCTCAAAGATTTAGAACCCTACTGATGATTAAAAAGGTCAAAATATGTATCATTTACAAAGAATGTAAGACACATACACATACACAATGAAACATGATGGGATATCATGGAAGATGAGGGTAATTTTAAAACCAATCAAGACCACCTAACACACTGAGAACATGTGACAATACTCAGCATGGATCCTTATCGCTCATTAACTCTTTCCTGATTTGAATGTTGAGTATCCTCATGTTTGTGCTGCAGTTTCAGCCTGTGATGTTTGTGTAATGGCCCGCAACCTGTTGACACTTTTATCACCCATAGATTTTGGAAGGCAGTAGTCGCCATATGCATCATTGGTTTGCACTTTGCCGAGCATGATTTATTGGCTCCTGGAAAGGAAGTCAATGGCTAAATTAGCACTCTGACTGAAGGCGTAATTTCATTTATGAGCTGGAGTTGCAGAGTGCTGCTGGACAGAAGTGGATATATCCTTGTATTAGTTATGCAAGTGGTCTGTCTTTAAGTAATAACTCTGGTTCTCTGCATTTAAATGATACAATTTGTACGCAGGAATTGATTATCTTCCATTTCTAAATGTCGTTCACTGCATTAACAATTCAAAGAGTGCATAAATGGGCCAAATCGTGTCAACATAGTAATTGGTCCTGTCCACACTGTCATTGATGTGTAAACATGTTCTGATTTCTTGCTTTGAAGGTTGTATTTCATATTAGTACAATCTAGCAACTGATTAACTACCTGATTCAACAGGATCTTTGACTCCTTATCTAATTACAGGCTTGATATTTACCATCGAAAGGACAGTCGGCTCTCATCAAGAGTCAGGCCTGCAATCAACAGTAGCTTTCTAATTAGTAATTAGTTTGCTAGTCCAGGTTTTGATTAGATGTGGCCCGAGGACCTCTGCCGTTCAACTTGTTAAATAAGTTGTCTGTGAATTGTTGCTGCACAGTTATCCTAATGCACTCTACAGGTATACAGGCTGTCCAGTCATGTCATATCTCCCAGTAGTGATGTCTGATTGAGGTCCAGTGGGGGATTAGCAGTAGTGAAACTGTAATTAATTATTCAACAAAAAGGCAAGAAAAGGGCGTGTTATGTGGTTTGGTCAGTAATGGGGTTAGTGGCGCTCTAATGCTCTGAAAAGCATGATGATTGATTGTTTCTAAATTTGGGTTACTGTGAAAGTAGATTGTGTCTTGTTTTCAGCTCTACTCTGTACTCCAAAACACTGTAGCTGTGTCCCAGTTCAAGGACTGCACCAGTCAAACCTGTTGGTTGGGCAGTTATTTTTGCAAGCTTTACAGGGGAACATTATGAAAATCCCTACGTACCAAGCAGATATAGGGCTGGGCAATATGATATAAATTATATATATATATATATACACTCACATCAGTTGATATCAATATTGATATGTTATGATGTTGATTGTCCAGTGTGTAACATTTGGAAGGATCTATTGGCAGAAATGGAATATCAATGTCATAACTTAATTTTTCAGTATAATCATCTGAAAATATGAATTTTCATTTTTTTTTTATTTATTGATTCTTTTGGAATGAGGCTTTTATATTTTCAGACAGTCACCTTTCATGGAGGCTGACATGTTGAACCACCATTTTTCTGCAGTAGCCAGGAGGGACAAACCAAACACTGGCGCTAGATAGGACTGCCACCTTAGTTTGGAAGCACAGGCGAGGGAGTTGCAATCTGAAAACACCTCCCTCACCACTCTTGTCTAAGAGCTCAGCCCAAGAACCTTCATTAAGGCTTTTAGAGACTGCGCTAACTTGTTATGTTGCCTTAAATAGTTGTACTGTATTACATAAATATCACATATTTTAATTTTCATTTTAATGTTAAAAGTCAGGGTGTCACAGATCCGTGAACGCACTACACTAGTAGAGTCAAAGGAGTCATATCCATGTAGATGAATCTCAGCTTGTGACTGCTGTTCTTATTTGTCTGCGTTTGTCATTAGTTTTTAATCTACTCAGCTTTAATTATCTTCTAATGTTATATATTGTTTTGACTGCACCTGCAGTTGAGGCACAGCAGATTTGGCCTCTGGAGCTCCGATAGTGGTCTGATGTTATTGTTAATGCTCATGTATCAAAGCACTGATTTAAAAGACCTAAAATAACCTACCTTTGTAGGAAGGATTCGAATTGTGATTCATCACTTCAAGTCCCTTTTTATGCCATTTTTGGATTTATTATTTATTATTTTGTTTCGCCCTCTACATTTTCGTATTTTGTTTTTATAATATCCAGGCTTACCCAGACTGTGTATATATTATAATGTGAGGAAGGGTAACATATTATCTTCTCACAAACACAGCATGAATTATTTATTTGCAAGTATGTATATCTCATAGACTCCAAAGGCTTGCATATATCTTGTTTGAGACGAAACTGAGGTACGCTTTGGAATTCAAAGGTTGTGTTCACAGCTTATTGATGTACATCCACAAATATGAAATACAAAAATACCACCAGTATGTAAGGCGTTGCCAATGCACAATACAAATTGATTGTTCTGTTATGTTGAGCTGTGACACTTCCCTGTGAAAAAACAATTTTTTTTCCAAACATGTTTTATTCATGGATGAAACCAATTAAATTGTTTAAATGATAATGTTACTGTGGCGCCCTGGTTTGAAAATTTAGTGGTATTGTAAAATATATTTATAAAGTCTCAAACTGCAACCCAGCTGAGCAATTGGCATGAAAGTCTTTATCCTCTTGGTGTCAATTATGGCTGAACAAGTGACTTGTTTTTCTCTTATTCCTCTCTCTCCTGGTGAGAAAGAGACAGCGCTCTTCCAACTTTAATTGTCAAAAACCAAACTTTAATCTCTAAAGATGCATTTCTTCAGCGATGCTCGGGTACAGTCAAGCCTGAGAGAAAAATATTGAATAATATAATGTCTGAGTTAGACGTTTTAAACAGCTGAAACATGGGCTGAGGACCACCATGCAGTGCAGTAACGCTGCAAAATTACTGCTATATAAAGCAAATATTTTTAATTGTATTCTTTTATTTCTTTGTTATGTTGATTAATCCATTTAATATTTTGTCAATTAGTAATTTTGCAAATATCAACTAGTCTAACTAGACTACTTCAAAATCCCAAGATCCATTTTTTCTTGTTTTTGTCAGTCTAATTCCAACAAATCCGTAAAAAATGTTCACATTTGAGAAGCTGGTAGTAGATGACATTTGGCATTTTGTTCTTGAAAGCGATGAACTATTTACCAATATTTATGATTAGGTAATTTCAGCGTGGTTGAAGTCCCTCTTCGTGCATTTCTCAGCTATTCTACAGCAGTGTATTGTGACCATTGTAAATTTTATAACCATGAATCATATTTTGAAACCATGAATCAAAGGCAACCTTAAGGAGTAATTTTTCTACATTATGTTCTCTGTATTCACACACTGTCTGTCTGTTTCTTGCAGCTTCACTCAAACTCAGATAAAGGCGATGGATCCGTCAGGTACATTCTGGACGGGGAGGGAGCTGGGACTATATTTATCATCGACGAAGTGACAGGAGATATTCGTGCCACTAAGAGCCTGGATCGGGAAAGGAAAACACATTATGTCCTGCATGCACAAGCCTTGGACCGCCACACAGAGGAGGCCCTGGAACCAAAGTCGGAATTCATCATCAAAGTACAAGACATCAATGACAATGCACCCAAATTTCCAGATGGGCCCTTTGTAGCTACGGTGCCTGAGATGTCTGAAGTGGGTGAGTAGTTCTACAAAATAAACTGGACCTTCAAATGATTGCTCTCTACTGTCAGCAGCAGTAAGCTTTAATTTGAAGAGGTTGAAAGATGAGAAAACTGTCAACTTGAGTGCTATTTTTGTTGCTTTTTTGGTCTTCTTTATGTTTATAATGCCCTTTATCTTTGTGGTACAGAGAAGAATATCATGGCAAGACCTTTGACTTTACATCTGGTGTATGTTTCAAATAGACTCATGACCAAGTACTTCTCCAAGATGGTTTAAATGAAGGTATTAGCATGAAGAACCATGATCAAACATGTCACTACCTTGTGCAGCACTCTGGTTTGTTCTCTATGTGATAATGTTCTCCAGAATGTTTGATCTTCTGTAAGCTAGCCGAGTCGTCTTTTTCATCTTTGTTTTCTGGTAGCTGTGATGGTTTCCCGGGTGGGCAGGTCTTTATAAAGCACTCAACAATGCCTCCACAGCAATCCAGGCCATCGAGACTGTGGAGTCCTCCATTCCACATCACAGAGGAAAGAAAAGCCTCTATCCACCTCCTCTGAGACAGCTGCTCCTCGTATGCCCAGCATCATGTGGCAAACATCTATTTTTTATTTCTTTATTGTACCGTTCTGTTTTTAGCTCGGGTGAACAAAAGCCACCCTTTTCTCAGTCCAGTGGATTCTGCCTCACAGCACAATAGCTCAGAAGTATGGTGCTCAAATATTTCACAGCACTCCTTCAAAACATATGTAGGTTGTCCAAATGTTGGCCAAACTGCTGTCAGAGCGATTTTGCTTCAAATGTACTATAAGGTGGTGAATTTGTGACGCTGACAGTTGGCTAAAAAACATTGCATTTATATCTGTCTGTCTAAAATAATCCCTTCAGTTGCTGAAAAGAAGTAGAAATACTAAAACATCTCAAAGAGAAAATGGACAGCTTCATCAGTTTCTTGCAGCGAAAGAGAGGCAATGTGCAAAACCGATTAAATATGCAAACCCCAATAGACCTGTAGGCGCCATCTTTATAAACAGTCAATATCTCCCTGGTTGCATTCATGAATATTCATGAGTAGACATGCCTGACACACATAGAACTTTGCAAGTCAGTATATTTGTTTTTAAGTTGGATGTGTCAAGTACATGTCTTAATCTCTTCTGAGAGTCCTGCACTGCATATTGTGATGCTTTTTATGTGGAATATTTATTGGCATATACTGAATTTTTTAGTTTCAGGTTTAGTTTAAATAACAAATACTGTTAAATCTTATATTAAATGTTTTTAATTATTAGATAAATCCGTAGCTGCAATCCATATCTCTGAATGAGTGCATATTAGGGTAATGAATATATACAGCAAAAATCTGTGTATTGGCATCCTTCATTGACTTCTAACAGGACTACTCATTTTAAAGTTTCAGTGTTCGCTGCAAACTTCATCACCGGTTGCACAAAAAGAATCAATCACCATTGATGACCCAAGGGAGGAAATCAAGGACTGTGAAGGGGAAAATAATTAGCCTTTTTTCCCGCCCCTTCTTTTGCTAATGTCCATTAAAGTAATTCCTCTTTGGTTCAGCGTCTGCGGCGTCAAATCGGCTGTAACAATCAACTGTCCTCACACTCCAGAGCACTAATCCCCCAGCATTTGTCAATACTGGGGCTCCCGAGTGCAGGAAGGGGCTGTCTGGGAGTGTGGCAACTAATTGGTTGTGATGTTCTTTTTTCCTGTCTAAATTGATTAGCTGGGCACGTGCCAGGTAGTCCAGCATTACTGTTTCATACCTCCCATTCAATGTTACAATCATATTTTTTAGAGTGCTAGTTGAAAGGAGTATCAATTTCCTACTACTGTATATCTCCCAGTTGAGATATCTCTAAATGGAGATAGTAGCTCTGCTTTCCTGTCAACCATTTCAATTCTGGGAAAATCACTGTTTAATAGTGGTAAAACTCAGCAAAGGTGTCTTGTTTAGATGAATAGTTATGATTAAATGAGTGGAACTAATATGCGGAAATTGAGCAAAATTGTGCACATGGGTAAGTGTCAAACCCTTCATAAACAAAACCAAGTAGAGATTCAGGGTTGCGTACACATTTTCCCCTATAAGCTCTCTCAGATGTTGTTCCCATTAGCTCCATCATAAAACACAGATCAGTTTTGTTTAACTCCCCTATACACCCCATGTTTTATGCAATGTATGTGCACATTTTGTTTTGCTTTCAGATTTCCAATCAGTTTCCAGGCCTCTCCGAAAACCCACACATGGCTATGTATTGACGTATTTCATCCTAATAAAACATTATTATTTCAACCCATTAAGTCTAGACCAACATCTTGCTAACAAATTGCACTTTCATTACTGTACACATCAATGGAAATGTTTTTTTTTTGTTTGTTTTTTTTTTATTTCCAACCAAGTGGGGATGAAGCAAATGGCATGGTTATAATCCAGCTTCCCTGATCTGTTAAAAGTGCATTATGTTTTGTGGCCACTGCTAAGAGTCTAGTGAGGTCAGCGGAGATAGATACGATAGAGACCAAACTTCAGTTATGAGTGGCTCCCTACCTCTTATCAAATTTAAAACATGCATGAGACCTCCGAAAGACTCGGCCTTGACACCGGCCGGCGTGATTGGTAGAGTGACCACAGCAGCGTAGCAGAAACAGTAGTCAGTGCTAATGAGCAGTTGCTGTCAGAGTCTCTGTGTCCACGCTGGAGACACAGAGAGCCCGCCGGAGCTTTTACAGTCACTCAAAGCACTTTGACTGTCGTTTTGTAAAAGTTTCTGTGTGGTGCATGTGTTGAAGCTAAGGTAGCGGTTGTGTTGTAGCTAAGCTAATGGCTTAGAGAGGCTAACTCTCCAATATCTGTGTGTGTCTGTGGGGGGACTGTCATGTGCATGTGATCAAGGTACACATTGCAGTCAGCGGCGTCTTCAGCGGCTTCTAAAGCGTCCAAGGTCCAAAGTCCAAACCACTGCGCCAGAATAGAAAAATACGAAGTAGAGGGTTAGCAAAAACCATAAACTGAATGTATTTCTCTATCTGTATACATCGGAAAATGTGTGCAGCAGTTTCACAGACTTACATTCAAAGCAGAGGCTCTGGGAGGTGGGCCCCTCTCCTTCAATTAGAGGGCGTTAACACTGTTTTTCTATATAAATGTTGTGACGTAGAGTCGCCCAAAACGGTCCACTCTATCTCACCATTTGTCTTAAAACGTAGAGGGTGATTGGAAACAGCAGAGGGAGTGTTGAGTCATTTTTAACCCACAAAATGCATATTTGTCAAATCAAAAATTTGGTAATAATGTGAATTCTAACACCAGCATTGGCGTGTTTCATCACAGTATAGTCATATTATTCAGTTTACAGCTCAAAAAACACTTTTTAGGCTGGAGTGCCTCTTTAATTAAATCACATGTTTTACCACTGTCGTCAAGTGATGACATTGTACTGGACTGTACTGTTGTACTGTATGGCATTATATTGAAAGGTGTCATGTTTGTAAATGGGAAGGACAAACACTTAGAAACACCTTTCAAAATAATGTATGCCAATACAACCCTACTTTTAACTTGACCTAAGTAATATAATATATAGTACATATAATTGAATTTAGACATTTCCAACAATGTCATGTACCTTCTGTTATAAAGGGCCCACTGGGTGTGTATACTGATATATTAGACTCTTGTCTTCTCTGTAATTTTAATTTCAAAGACACCCCCATTATAACCTCAAATATATGCTGCCTCCCTGCCTTGAAATCAGTCTTGCAATCCAGCAATGTCATATATCCTTGAGGATTTAATGTCAAATTTATTGCAAGGGTTCAACCATCAAAATACTCAATTTGTTTCAATTAAGCGGTACTGCCTGCAAAGTGCTGGGTTTTAAAGGATTAAAATGAACAAGTCCTTGACTAGGATGAGTCTGAGAAAGTTTTAAAAACTTCTTATTAATGGTTTCAGTTGCTAGAAGTTAACACTACAACAACAACAACAGTGGTTTCAGGGCCCTTCTTATAAGACCAAGGTGTTAGACAAAAGCTCTCACAAAGGAACTACCACCTAACAGTAGTTGTATTGTAAAGTGTCTTTACTCTCCAGGAAGCCTGTAACATGGAAAAGGTCACTCTGACCTTAAAACTCTTCATTACTCAGCGTCTGTGAAACTGATTTTTAAAGTTATTATGCCTCTTGAGTGTTCACTCTTTCTTGAGTAAAACCAGACCTTTTAATTTAGCGACCATTACATTAGTATAGTTCCAAATGTATAGTACTTGAATATTTAAGTTAAAGTGCATTGTGAGCTATGGTAAGCACATTGTACAGCCTTTTAGGAGTGCATAATGAGTGCATTATCAGTCAGAATATGCAATAATATAAATGTTTCCACAGCTTGAAAAGCTGAAAGATGAAAATATATAGTGATAAAGAACATTTCTTCTTAACCATGATATACAGAAATATTAATCATACTCACAGATGAGCATTTTCTTTACTTAAGCCATTAACACAGAGCAATTCAAGGTTCATCAATGAAATTATGTACTAACTAATAACTTTTCCCAGACAAATGATTTGGAACCGACTCAGCTTCCAAAGCAATCCCAGAATTGATTAAGTCCAAATAATTCCCAGTGCAATTTTGGCTGCAAGGTTGACAGAGATTCGGACTGCCCAGGCATACTGTGGAGGACATGGTTCATTATGGGTGGCATTTCACTCTGCTCCTTCAGGTCCAAGAAAAAAAATAAATCATATCTGGTGAGACACAGTGGAGTGAGTTTCACTTGTTTAATTTAGTTCAATTCCCAGAGGAAAACAACAGAGCAAATGTCCAGAAGATTTACAGGCCCTAGGATGCACCATATAGCTCATATGTCCCATAACACAATCATATTACGATTCTTACATATACTAATGCATTTTGTAAGATTGCAATGCAATTACAGTGCACTCATCTTGCAATTATAATGGGTTAATGAAGCCTGTAATGCTGTTTGAGCAACACTTCAAGTGTTAAATTGAACCACAATGGCTTTTACACTGCATTTTTAAAGAACATTTAAATAATGAGCCATCCCTCTAAGTTTTCAAATAATTTGTCTTTGTTTTTGGCATTATCTGCATTGAAAAACACTTGAAAACTAAGACCAGTGCTTGAACTCCCATTTCCCATTTAAGGTGAAAAGCTGAGAACAGCCAAAAAATGTCTGTAAAAGCAGTTTCACTTTCTTGTGACATAAATCAGATGTACTGCAGTCAGCCTTTATGCAACAGTGCCTGTGAATAAGTGAATGAATACGATTACTCTCTATTACATTATATAGACAGATTCTGACTTATTTTTTGAGCCTGTTAGCTAGGTAGCTTACCACAATAGCTGCCCAGACAACATTATTTTTTTACATAGCTTCTGTCTTTTAAGAGATTAATTTTGTGCTGTGAGCCACATATCATGTGAAATGTATTAGTATTTGCTAAATATGCATTTTGTTATCTTTTAGTTAGCTGTTTAATGAGGTGATCTTCTTTAAGCCACAGCTCTACTGTCTTTATCGAGGATGTGTCCAGCATTTTAAGTACCTCTCTCTTTCTAATCTTGCTATCATATATTTAGATTTTGTGCACAGTGATTCTCTTCAACCCTAAAGGCACCAGACGTGGTTGCTAGGATATTCTCAACACATAGCCATTACACAATTAAACCCAGTGGTGGATTAATATTCAGAGCCTTTACTTTAATAAAGGTACTAATACCCCACTGTGAAAATACTCCACTACAAGTAAAAGTCCTGCATTCAAAAAAGGATATATTGTGGTATCGTCAGCAAATTTTGAAGTATCAAAAGTAAAAGTACTAATTGTGCAGAAAAATGGTCTCTGTACTATTATTATGTTTTTGTATTAACATTACTGTTGCATTAATGTGTATGTTGTATTGCACTGCTATAGATGATTACGGTTATGCTCTTTCTAAAAGGCATAATATGCAGGATTTGTCAGTTGCCACTTGTAAACACACACCTCCTACCCAACTCGAGCGAGCCAGAGAGAGAACCTTAGATCGTGCTGCTCACCCTGAACGCTGCCCAAAGGTTGACGCCCAGAAACGTCCTGCACACTAAAATAAGAAAATAACTAGTAACTGCAGCTGTCAGACAAACATAGTGGATTAAAAAGTACAATATTTGCCTCTGAGATTTTATAGAGTGGAAGAGTAAAGTTGCATGAAATGAAATGTGTACAGTGCTTGAGTAAATGTACTTTCATGTCACATTCTACCACTGATTAAATCACATGAATATACTGACATATATACAGTTATTATTAGGAAATGATTTTGCTGTGTTCATTTTCAGGCACTTCTGTGTTGCAAGTCACAGCAACTGATGCTGACGACCCCACCTATGGAAACAGCGCCAGAATAGTCTACAGTATCCTACAAGGACAGCCATATTTCTCTGTCGACCCCAAAACAGGTGTGGTATTACTGCATGCTTAGGAAAAATACTCAGAACAAAACACCCACGCTCTTGCAAGCATGGTAACTATAACAATAAATGGGCGTAATAACTTTCTCATAATCTCTATTGTTGATCTCCTAAAATGATCTAAAGTGATGTGTATATCATGCTGTGAAATCTGTGCACCATACGCTTCGTGCTGTGAACATCCTGTTCTGTTATTGCAGCACGTCTGAAATCATAAAAGCTAAAGCAGCCACAGTAGAGTTATGGACTACTCATACGACTGCTATATTGTTGAGCACGCAATCCACTCTTTGTTGGCCATAACTAACTCCTCAAGGGTCAAAGGAGACATTTGTAGGGATGCTTTCAGAAAGCCATTGTTTCCTACCTTCTTGAAAGGAAGTAAAAAGCCACAGACAGTCTTTTCAGAGTCCTTCTTTTGTCTGAGAGGCCTCTGCTGGAATCTATTAAATGTTAATAAACCCTCTAAAGTGCAAGACATATAACTTTTATATGATGTGAAAAATGTGTTGCTGTGAGTGTGTGCATGTCTGTTTATTTCTGATCTCTCTTTGTCTCACAAGAGAGTGCGTACGCGCATGCGTGTCTGAAGTTTTCCACGCTTGCCTCTGCTGCTGCTGTCGGTTAACATGAACAACAATCCACTTGTATGAATTGATTCATTGCTGTCTGGAACAACTATTGGCCCCTTTGAGACTATACCGCCCATGTAAAACATGAATTCTTTGCTGAATGAGCAACACAAATGAATTGCTGAATATTTTGACTTTACCTCGAGGGAAAAGGCAGTGGGGATTGATGGAGCAATTTCACAGCGGTGTGGTGAGGCAGAAGCAGTGCCAATTTTTGATTCAGAACTGGGCTTTCTTCCACTTTATTTTATCAACTATACATTATTGTAGTTGAAATCTATTTTAAATCAGGTTTTGTCTGTACAAGTGATTATTCTACAGTGATTTTTTTTTGCTTTTTCCATATGAGGTGAGCTTTTAGACACATCAGATGGCTTGTTTTGCTTGAGCTGACTCGGCATCTTGTCTGCATTGTAATTCAGCGCAGGGTGTGCAGAGCAGTAAGGATGTGATCGAAGGCCTAGCCAGCTGCACTCTCTGCACAGCACTATTCCACCCACACGTATTAATTTATACAAGTCGGCAGTTGTTTTCGCCACTGGCAAACCACCCTCCTCCCTCAAATTAGGACAAGGAACTCCAGCGGTCAGTGGAAAGTGTTCACATGGAGGGAGTTGCACTTGCATGTGATCTTTAATATGCTAAGCCCAAGTCTTAAAGCAGTTGTGTTGGCATGCTGCCACATTTGAGCACCACAGCTGGGAAGCTGATGCTGCTCCTACGTCTGTCTCATAATGCATTAGCTTGCTTACACCTCTTCATATCAACATGTACCTGGCTCCCACTGTGCTTAATAGTGACACCGTCATGGGGAATTCATATATTATTAGCAGGATTAAAAGAACACACACATGCAAGCACACACACATGGACAAATCCACCTCTTCCCATTTGACCTTGGTCTGGTGGCCTGATACAGCAGTGACAGATTTTACAAGACCCATGAGGTAGAAGGACAGATCATTTAAGGACAGAGGGTAATGATAGCATTTGGCCTGCACATATGGTGCTGAAGGAATCCCCAAAGGACCGTCTCAGACTTGACCCAAATCCTCAGCAAGCAACAAAGTGAGCAGTTATACCTGTTTCTTCTCCCTGGCTTAGTGGTTTGAAAAACCACCAGCAAATGAAATGACAGCCCTGTCTGATTGTTTGGAAATTGTATTAAATGGTAAATGGACACAGTTACAGTATATAGCACTTTTCAACCTTAGAAGAGGACAAAGTATAACAGGCTGTCTTGGCAAAGCAATCATGAACTTGTGTTTCAGCTTCTGAAACTTTCTCCAAATATCCCATGAATTATTTGTGATGCCTTGCAGCTTTTTGAATTAAAATACCGTACATTAACGCCCCTAATAAAAAGAACATGTGCGGGTATTATTACATAACGTAATGACTTTATGCCTGAAATAATGTATGGCTGTATTGCCACTCTACAGCTAAAGTGGGGTCTGTTTAGTTTGAAAAATTATGTATGCAAAATAAGTTATGGTCACAAATGGCTACCCTTTACTTGTTAATGCCCACATCTCTTCTTCTTCATAACTACAGTATGTAATACAACCTTTCTTTTGGAAATTTGAAACCCAATTATAAACCCAATGACACCACCAGTAACAAAGTCAGATAACTAAGACAGACATGTTAATAGCTCAATACAAAATTTCACTGAGTTCATACTTCTCAATTTACTAATTAACTCAGAGAACAGCATTAAGGCAGCTGCTCGTCTCCACTGGAAATAAGATTCAATCATGGATGTAAAATTGTAATTGATGCATCTATGATGGTGTCATGCGGCATACAAAAAAGGAGAGATAGGAGTTTAGGATTAGATTTACTTCACTGAAGAAATAAATGAGCATGACACAGACTTTGTAAAGACAGAAATATAACTGATGGAACAGATAATGACGGAAGGCCTGGGGGGAAAAATGTGGGCAGAAGAAAACAAATGTGGCAGCTCTGCACTGCGTTATAATAATTTGACATTCCAAAATATTTTGTATGGCCTTACAATTCTTTCTCATGAATAATATCTCCAAGGTTGTACATGAAATGACGTAGTTGTCTGTAAGTACTCATGTGATTGACATTTAGGTAGCTAATAAGATCCTAGCAATCAGTAGGGATTATGTGGTGATATGAGATATTATAACCACTCCAGTTGACTTGGATTGGATTTATTGGTCAGTGTGCCTGGCTACTGGTCTGGTTGTTATCATTAATGAAAAGTTATTAATTCATGAAAACAAAGTAAAGACCAAACGTTAATGTTTAGGTGCTGGCTAAGGCAAAAATCGTCACATTAAAATGAGGTAGCAGGCGCCTGGATAACTCACTTGGTAGCGTTGGCGTCCCATGCACCAGGGCGGCGTCCTTGTGGCCTTTTGCTGCGTGTGATCCTCTCTCTTCAGCTGTCACTATCGATTAAAGGCAATTAAAGCCCCCAAAACTACTTTAAATGTGGTAGCTGGGTACTGTCATGCTTTCATGACTATTTACTAAGAACATTACGGCAGCCAGCTGTCACCAGTGTTGTATATTAAATATAATGCTCAAAAGTGCCACACAAATTTGTTGAAACCTCTCAAATTGTGAGCAGAACTGTGCAAAATAGATGTTACTAGCATTATATCATAAAAAGCACAGTGAAATGTAATTAGAAGTGGGCGGGTATAGATTATCCACTTGTTGGTTTGCGAAGCACAGAAACTCTGCAGGTTTCCATTCCAGCTGCTCACTACAGCAACGAAGGCCACTGATTATCACACCTTCAAAAAGAGTGGAGAGACTAATCAGTGAAATCTCTTTGCAGCTTTGCACACCAGCCACTGCAACAGACTCTTGATTCAGTACCTGACTACCTGGAGTTACTGCATGTGGAGGCAGCACTTTAGAAGCCAGTCCAGTTTTTGATTTTTACTAAACTTTTTTTAATGATTTCCTAGAAATGGATTTAGAGGAATAAATTCAACATTTGGGGAAATATGCTTACTCAATTTGTTGTTGTTGGAGAAAGTTAGATAAGAAGATTGATACTACTCTCATTTCATTATGCTAAATATCCAGCTAGAACCAGCTGGCGATTAACTTGGCCTAGCATAAAGACTGGAAACAAGTAGAAAAAGCTAGCCTTACTCTGTCCAATGGTAAAAGTAAACAAACAAAATACATTGCACAATTCGTGGTTGAGGGACATGTGCCTTTTTGGCTGGGAGCAGTGACTTCCTGGAGTCATTTTTGTAATATAAACCTGTAAATTAGCAAAATTGCTTGTAAAAAGCTGGATGGTGAGTGTGCTACAGTGAAGAGTTTCCAGCAACAGCTACAAATCCTTGCAAGGTGTCCCTTTAGAAGGACACTGGGCCCCTTACCTGCTGCTTATGTTGTGACTTGTCTGGGGATTTTGGTCAACAGCAAGAGCAGATGCACAAGGACACCAGAGTATTAGACAGAGGAACTGAACCTCTGTCTGCTCTCTGAATGTAAATCACACAGGATAAAAGTTAAAAATGGAGCCTGGATGTGCATGTGACAGATTTACTCTGGGAAGTTGATGCCACGTTTTGTCAGAGTTCTCTTACAATATTAGCTTACCACATCACCAGACTGGTTATATTTGCTAAGTGACATGCTAACTGTGTTAAGAACATTCACTGCAATGGCTCTACTTGATTACATGGTTTGCAAATCTCAAAACTGCAAGCCAGCAGTTTTATTAAGAGCTTTCTATATCTCAGCAAAAGTACATCTTAGATGGTGGCTGCATTTATCCTTTTTATAGTCTGGTCGTAACTCCTGTCTTTCCCATCACTACTGTGCATCTGTCATTTACCCGCAAAGACATCAAGGTTGTTCCTCTTGAGTCTCATAGTCGAGTGCCCCCACCAATCCCACCTCACATCTGTACTCGCTCACACACACGACAAGACACAGCACACTGCAGAACCCCTAAGTCCCTTTTGCATCCTAAATAGGCTAATTTCTCTGCTGATCTGGGATTTGGGAGTGTTCGAGTTTATTGAAGGAGCTGACACAGATCAAGTCGTTTTCATGGTTCATGGATTAAGTCTTACCACTAGTTAGATCAAGGAAAAAGCTGTCACTGTGTCAATCAGTCGGATGTAGTCTTGAGCGGTCCAACCAATTATTCTCAGTCAGATAAATGATCCAATATATAAATAGAATAATCTTTGTAAAGTAAAAAGAAGAGGTGTACTATTATGATTTCTATGATTTCTATGCCTGCTTTTGTTGCTGTTATCTACTTTCTTCTCCAGAAATACTGTAAGAGTGCAGACACACAGGGATAACATCGTATTGGAAGGGCCAAAAACTAAGATTCCTGAAGCTGGAGATTGAAGAGCGCTTTAGTAATCTCCTATAATCCTTTTTGTTCACCCAGGAGATTGTCCTCCTTTAGAAGTTTCCAGCCAGACAAAGAGCTGGATAGTGTGATGGTATCAACTCTAATAGACTGGGGAGGTTGAGGAAAAGGCTAACCACCTCACTGTGTCAAATGGGCCCAGGTTCAGGGAAGTCAGTTCTTTCTCAATTATTTTCTAAATTAACTGACGAG